CTAGCTCCTCCCATCCCTATTCCAGACAGGCTGGCTAACAAATAGATGCAGGTTTAGCTGGGACTGGTGAAGCTAGAGCAACAGCAGATTGTTCCCTTCCTTTACTCCTGAAGAGTGATGCCTTGACTTCAAAGCCCTGCACAGTCAGGGACAGAGATCCCTGTGGCTGCTGCTTCTTGGCCAGGTGAAGTTAGTGATACAGAGATGGCCCCAGACTCCCATCATATCACCTGAGGGCGCTCGGTGTGCACAGGAACACAAAGCAGCTTGGTTAAGTGAATTCTGTTCTGTCACTTCACCCACCTGTGTTACTTTTTTTCTGTAAGTTTCCATGAAGTTTTTTGCCTTTATTTTCAGGTTTAGCCATAGGAAATAAATGAAGGTGCACCATTTAGTACAAAATAGACAGCTGTAGGTAGGCTATAGATTGCTGCAACTACTGATGCTATTTGTCCAGTTTGACATTTGCAGTGCCGGCTGCAGTGTGACTTGGCAGGTGTGTCATGATTACCCCCACAACATTGACAGTGGCTGTGGAGGACACTGCACAGTCCTTCCTTGTGGCTGAGCCATTGTAGCTGTGTAAGATGGCTTTAGTCAGACATGGTCAGTAGCCTGGGCTCACAGCTAGCAAGAGCTATAATGTTCCAGGTCTTGCCATATGGAATGTGCTGCTTTGAAGGCTGACACTGCTCCCTGTGCTCTGAGGGACCATTGATAGCCCTGACCCCCATGAGGAACTGGCTGCTTGGCCTCTGTGCCCACCTCAGGGCTTGGGCATGTGAGGGGAGGGAATAGCTCAAATAATAAAAATACCAGCTCTTTCCACCATGGGGGACAACTGATGGTGATTAAACTGGTAGCATTTTCCAGGACATGGAAGTGGCTGCTGCCATGTGATACAAAAAAAACCATTTTCTGTTTCCATCCATTCCTAAAACAAGCCTAAAACAAACTTGTTCATCACTCTAATGGCTGAATAATAATGTCATTTTAGAAGAGTTTGCTACCATAGTGACTAAGAAATGGTTGCGTGTTGATTTTATCAGAACTTTCTCATCCAATTGTATCATACAAGGTTCTTGATTGTGATGGCTATTATATCTGGACTAAACCAGAAGGAAATACTGTGATTTGTTTCCAGAAAAATAGGCTACTTGGTCTTTTTTGCTATAGCTTTGTCACTTTACCAAGATGTCAGCATATTTTGTGTTGACAGATTGGCTTTTATACAATATGTTGTATGCAGAGTTACTGTAAGACAAATGGAGTGTTAAATAAAATATCGTTTCCCTTAAGAAAAACCCTCTGTGTTTGAGGCACTCTTATTTCCTATGATTTCCTGCTGCGAAGTTCCTTCAAGAGTGTTGGTCATGTTAAAGCCACATTTAGTCAGTGCTTTGCAAAACAAAGAGCAAGGCCCTGCTGGGACAACAGCCTCCCAAAAGCAGAGAAAAAATGGAGACCTGGATTTTCAAGCCTGAGCTGGCTTCAGTGCTGAGCTGGTGAGTCCTGGCACTTGCTTTTTGCATCCAAGTTCAAACACAGTGTGCAGACCCTGATGCCTTTTTCTTTCTAATTTATGTGTTGCTCCTATTACCTCTGGCACTGGTCACGGAAACCCCAGTCCTAGTCCTGAGCCCCATCCCTTCAGCTGTCCATGCACATAGAGACAATGGCTGCTGCTCTTGTGTCTCCTGGAGAGTAGGGATCAGATCCTGATCCTTAACAGACCCACACCACTCAGGGAATAACAAGAGTACATAGTGTATAAGAGGTCCTACAAGTATTATTTTATTTCTTCTTTTTTTTTAAATACTACGTACAATCTGTTTAAAGCTTTTCAAAATGCATGGGCTCCTAGTCAGTGGAGCTCCTATTCAATAGATGCAAAACAAGAATAAAATCTTTACTGTTCATCTTCATAAGACACTTACTTCTTCCCATTACAAAATACTTTTAAGAATAGTAACACTTACAAATGGATTTATATTCAACATCATATAAAATAAACCAAGATTTATACTCAATTCTAGACTTTTTCTTATTTTCTTTTTTTTTCTTTCTTGCATGGACTATATACAGTATGTACAGTAACTTATTGTGTTTTTCAAATCAGCCTGATTATACACATCAGGCTTTAGCTTATATGTACAAATATGCTGAAAGTGCAAGACTTTATTATTTAAAGCTGCCTGTGTTTTCAGAGGTCTGGAATTGTATGTCCGATATATATTTATATATAGATATACATCTGCATACATATAAATGTATATTAAAATACGTATATATAGTTATAGTATATAGGTACTTGTGTAGTAGAAAACCTCAGAACATTCGTGACTGATAGGTCAACATCGACACTGTAGGCCAACCCTGCTGCCATCAGTTATGTTCCTGCTCTCTGCTTGTCACCAACAAGTCACACATACATTTTCTTGTAGGTGCCTGGAGGGGGAGTGAGCCAAACCCACCAGCAACCCTCAATTCCAAATGAGTCATAGAAACACAGGTCATAGCTAACACCGAGGTAAACAAATACAAATCAACCTGAATAAAGTGATTTTTATCCATCAGTTTCTTTGAGAGTGACAATATAAGGCAAAACCCCCCTGGACCTGACTCAGCCTTGCCCTTGTCTGGAGACTGAGCAAAGACCAAGCAAGCCCCAGAAAAGGTTGGTGGGATTTTGTCCTTTGGAGAATGTTGAGAAAACAAGGCCCTATCTGTGAGGCAGTGCCTTGGACTGTGCAGCCCCTACCCACTAGCACGGAGGCCAGCAGCTGGGGGGGCTCTGAGAATAAGAGGGGGCACGTTGATAAAGTGCGTTTTTAAGTCTCTGGTTTTAGCAAGGCTGATCTAACCTCCTCACCAACCTCCTATACTTCCCGCAGGGAGCTGTGAGCAGGGGTGGTGTGCCCCAGCCCTCTGTCCTTGCAGCCCAGGGCTACCACCAACAGCCCAGGGCACGGCCTTGTCTGGTGCACTCACCTCCCCTGGAACCCTTTCCCAAGCCTATTTCTTTTTGTACTCACTGTCAAAGCCACAGCAATGCCAGAAAGCTGCTCTGGCTCAGCTACCTCCCTACCAAGCCCCATTAAAAAAACAAACCCCTCAAGGCCCTGACCCCAATCACCACCACCTCCGAGATCCCTTTTTTTGCCACCTGCCATGGCTGGGCTGTGTAGTGATGGGACACTGCAGACCAGCCATGGGGATGTGTTGGGGTGATGCAAGTGTAATGGGGAAGCCAGGGAAAGCACAGCCACCTTGAGCCACAACCTGCAAAGCTGGAGCCCTAACACAGATATATGTGTTTGCCTCCCCTCTAATGTTATGTGCCAAAGCTATGGTGGGAAAAAAATCCCACAGACAACTCCCAAAAATAAAACTCCCTCCTACTGCATCCTCATAAGCAACCCTGCTGCCTTAGAATGGGGAAAGGGAGACCGTAAAACTAATAGTGCTTTAAAAACAAAAGTTTCCTACCCTGAAGACTCTATGCTGGCCCTTACTGCAGAACAAACCTGCAGAGCAGGAAAACCCCACGTGTTATTTCAGCTCCAGATTGCCCCACAAAGGCAGGTGTTCCAAATCCCACTACCAGCAATGAGGTGTCCCTGCCCCATGGCTCTGCTGTAGCCACCATTTCTTGTCATGGTTTGAAATGGAGGGGCTAGCTCAGACTGTGTCCAAGAATCACTGCTTGACTGCCCAGCACACAAGGGCTGCATGTGCTGTGTGGGCTGGGGCCCAGCCAGGGACTGTACTGAGAAGGCATGAGCCTCGATATTGGACACCAGGCTGTCGGGCATCTCACTGCCTCCATTTTGTGGCTCACTACATTCCCCAAAATGCTGCATGTGGCCAGCTCTGCAACCAATGATCCATCATGTCTGGTAGGCCTGGGAGCTGTGCATTCAATGTCCCAGTCAAAATTAACCTGTGCAGCTGCTTTTGCCCAAGGGAGGGGACCCATGAATAGCCAGGGGTTGGCACAGCTTTTGTTCACATATCCACCTCTGCACTGGCCAAAACACCAAAGCACCCTATGTCCTTGCATCAGTCCCTGAAAGCTCCTGGCTGACTCTAGCTCCAGCAGCCTATCCTCCCACTGCCACTCCCCCCAGGCAATGTGGCACAGCAAAACCCATCCCCTTTCCCAGAAGAACTGCTGGGAAACAGCCCCTTGTGTACCAGGGCTGAAGGAGCCCCGCTGTGCTCTTTTCTTGAAACACAGGACTACTCTCAGCTGTTTATGCCAAAAGCTGCTCCACCAGTAACATCAGGAACACCAGCTGCTGCAGTGCTGCAAGGGGCCCAGAAAGTGGCTTGTAGAAGGAAAATAAGGGAACAAAAAAAACCCCAAAACACCATACAAAAAAAAAAAGGCAAAACCAAGCATTCTTTGCTTAGTTTCAACAGACGTTAGAGACTAAACAAACTAAACATTAGGAACTAACTCCTCTCTAAACCTTGCTCTGTCTGCAAGGTGGAGTTTTACTGCTAGATGGATCTGGTCCTAACTAACCACTGCCTTGTAAGGTTTATAGTAATGGCCAAACTCAACTACATTTGGGTTCTAACAACGCCCAAAGTTAGTACTCAGCTACTAACACTTAAAAAATGTACTTTTTAACTTTTCCTTTGGAAAGACAAAAACAGTAGGGACACTGAACTATACACCCACTGAGGAATAAACTGGTTTTTCAATTCATAAATATAAACTTACAGTTAAAAAGTGACAATTTACAAAAATACAATTTATTGCTGACCCTACAGGCTTGTAACATTGTGTGTTGTGATTATACATTTTGGGTTTGCCAAATTGAAACATGACCTAGCAAAACCACAAAGTTTGCTGTCATATGCTGTTCTACACATGTTTGTTTGTTTTTATGAATAGAAACATATACAACTACCTCACTTGAAACAAACAAACAAAAAAAAAGTACAGATTCTTTGTCTGTAACTTGAAAAATATTTGGCTACAGGGAGTAAAAACCATACAAATTTATCTTCATTTGTTAACCAAAAATAAAACATGACAAATATTGTACTAGCTGCGATGTGAGCTGGTATAACAACAGTAAGAAATTCAGGCAAAAGTGGTGTTACATAAATTAGCAGCATTATCCAAACTCCTGGAAAAAAAAAACCTGCGGGACTGAGGTATAGTAAAAGGAAAAAGAATTCACAATGGACTTACTACAGCAAAACGAGTTGTGAACATGATAATCCAATGCTGTCCTGCAGACTGGTACAGTCTATGTGCTCCAAATGCTGGGCTTAAATTCACAGTGACTTTCACCATTGAAGTCCTGAATGGAAAAGGGTTTTTTTCCATTGCAAACCGAGTTTCATGACAACCTGGTAACTCACCTCCCTGCAACAAGAAAGCCACCACTTCGAGTGGCACCATGGTGCTGGGTCAGGGCACACCCTGCTGCCGGAACAGCATCACGGACTGGCTGCATGGAAATCCCAACAAATTACATCCTTGCAGCCATGCACCCCTGTCAGAGATCATCCCTCCAGCCGCCACATCCCCATGGAGCCCGACCCGTCTTGTGCCGTACTCTGATGGCGTCATGCTCTCCTGCATGCGCCTGGGTGCAGCAGCTGCAGCCGTGTGGACCTTTGTCTCCAGAACCAACTTTCAGGGCAGCTGCATCTCAGGCAGGTCAGGCAGGTTGCAGGGCTGGCCCTGTGTGTGATGGCTCTGCTGCTGCGGGTGGAGGAAGTAGCTCAAGGGGTTCTGCTGTGGAGTGTGGGGCGGCTGGAAAATGCGCTGCGTCGGAGCCCCAGGCACCAGCTCAGGACCTTGCATCTGTTGGGAGACACAAATCCGAGCAGTCAGACCTGCCCCATCACCCAGCTGTCCCTCTCTTGCTGCAGGGCTGATGCTGAGACTCATGCTCAGGAGTGTGTGCACCAAGTCCTAAACTTGAGGGTGTGAGCTGTGCCCTTCAGGATGCTGCTGCTGTCAAGCAAAACCAACAATGCCTGGAGAGCACAGAAGGGAAGCAGGACCCATCTGTCCCAACAGGCTCATGGGGAGACCACCAGAAATAGAGATCTCTAAAATATACTTGGATGCAAGGTCCAATTGGCAGGATGTGCGACTTTCATTTTTCATGCGAAAGAACTTCAGACAACCAAGGAAGATGTCCCAGAGTAACCATGTACCCACTCATTGCTGGTACCTCAAAGACCTGGACTTGGTGTTTCACCCCCTGTTAAAGGCACTGTGTCATCAAACTCTGGTTTACTGCATCCCTGGAGCTATTTATGTGTTCCAGCATCGTCATTCTGCTGTCCACACTGCTAGTCCTCAGGATCGCAATGCAGCACACGAGGACACATATCCAAAGCAGGGACAGTTCATGCCCACATTTGCTGATAACAGCGATTCATTTCTCACTCTAAATCCAGTCCTGCTGTGTAGCTGCTTTCATCTGAACCTACTCCTCTTTCTTCTCTACTGTCCTTGCCTGGAGGACTGTAACTTAACCTCTGCCACTCAGTCTTGGAGAGCATGTTACTGAGGAATTATTAGTTTCAACAACCCCTCTCCTTGGCAGTGTCACTAGTTCAGCATGTACTGATGTAAATTGTGTTCTGAAAAACCAAAATCACCTTGTCCAGTGAAATACCCATTTATTAAAAGAAAGCTGTGATGACGCTGATAAAAATCTTGCTCTAATGAGATGTAAGGAGGTATGTTTTCCAAAGAGCTTCTCTCTTATAATTTTTCATGACTACAACCAGCTTCCCAGCAGAGCTCCTCTGGATGAAATGCTGTGTTTGAAAAATTGGTATTTCTTCTGTACACTGTGTGATAACAGTTTCTTGGAAAATAAGGCCTTGAGCAGGTGCAGAGTCAGCCTGGAAACGCTGAGCACCTGGCTATATGGAGATACAATGGGAATGGAGATGTGCAACGACACTAATCAAGTCTGATCAGCTACATAAGCCCAATTTCTTCAAAAAACCCTAACCCATCTCTAAGCCATCCCTGTGCCTCCTCAGAAACTTGCTCCTGCTCCAATACCTGAAGGTAGAGGCAGTGCTGCTGAACCTGCTGCTGTGGCCACTGGTGCAGATGAACCGATGTGTTGGCCTGGTGGGATGTGAAGCTGGTGTGTGGGATCATTAGAGACGGGGAGAAGATGGGTGGCGGGGCTGGAGGTCGGACGGTGCTGCAGGTGACTGGCTGCACCTGTGCTGGGAGAGGCAGGGTCTGCTGCTCTGCAACAAACCTGCCACAAGGAGGAAAGCCAGGAGTGAGAACCCACACCCAGACCCACCCTTAGAATGGGCACAGGGGAGCCCTGCTGCTACAGGAACCAGCCTGGAGCAGGGCTGGACAAAGTATGCAGACCTTGCTGACAGGAGGCCCCTGACTCCCCTCTGCCAACAAAGCATGGATTGGAACTGCTGAAAATTAAGGTTTTTAAGGTTGTACATTTTCTCTATGTCTTGGACAAGCATTTTATGCTTTGCAAAAGCCAGAAAATTGTTAATTTTTTTCAATGCACTTTATTTATCATAGAGTTCTTTGTAATTAAAAAATATTCTCATTTTTCTCCTAACTGGCTGAACATTTGTTTCATTTCAGACTGAGACTGTTTGTGTTTGTGTGACCAGGAACAAGTTTATCCATGTCTTTTTCAGTGCCATAAAGTGCCCTGCTAAGACAGTGCAGGAAAATAAGGGTAAGCAGAGACTCACTTTCCTTGCTGCCTGCTGGCACTGTTCAGCACAGGCTGGCAACTGCTGTTGGTTGTGGGCATCATGGCTTGGATGGACTGATCCAACAGCATCCTGTGGTGGGAGGAAAAGAGAGGATGGTCAGGGAACGGAGAGGTCCAATGTCCAAGGTCCTGTCAGTCTCTAGAAACAAGTCCTTGAAAATCCTTCATAAAAACAGGTAAACCACTACCTTGAAAACAAGCTAATGAAATAGGATGCTTCCTATCACCTCACATCTCTCCTGTGAATATATGCTGAAAAGATTTGGATTGTTGAGACTGGAGAAGAGAAGGTTTTAGGGACATCTTATAGCACCTTTCAGTACCTAAAGGGGCTAAAAGAGAGCAGGAGAGGGACTTTTGGCAAGGGTATGAAGTGAGAGGACAAGGTGTAATGACTTTAAATTGACAGAGGGCAGGGAACTAATTTTTGGAAATACGGAGACAAGAGGATTTAAGGCCCGTGATGATACAGCATGATGTGCACAGCACCCTGCTTGCCTGCATACTGGGTTCATCCCTGCAGAGGGAACATCCTTACGCTGGCTGTGGCATCCCAAGCCCATCACCCCAAGCCCAGCCACGCCTGCCCTCTTTGCTGCCCAAGTACTGCTGTTTTCTGTCACTGCCCCCAGGACGGTCCCAGCAGGGCTGTGGGTACCTGAGGTTCCTGTCCTGGCTGTAGTCAGCTGGCGGTTGCCTCTCGCTGCCGTCAGTTGGCACCTGTGCAGCCACGGTGATGGGCTGTGTTTGGGAGAACATCATGGGGTTGTTGTAGAAGGGCACTGAAATGCTCGCCTGCCCTGGCACACACGTTTGCTGGCCTTGGCTTCCTCTCATCGGGTGCTGCTGCTTCTGCTGCTGTACCTGAAAGTACCACCTAAATTTTAAAGCCCCCTAATGGAGGATAAAATAACCACTTACAGTGGGCAGGTGAGAGAAGGAGAAGGAACAATAGGATATTGTCCCTGAACACAGCAGTAGGAACAGTAAATCTATTCAAGACCACTCACCCATTAGCATTTATTGTCCCTACGGGGCAGGTGTTGGCATTCCCAGACAGACTTTTGAGAAAGTAGAGTACAAGGGTGTGCTGGTTTGACCTGGGAAGAAGAAACTCAGAGAGAAGTTCTCTCTAAGGGGGCTTCCTCTGTGGGGGGTTGGGACAGCTTCAAGAGCCAATTGGAGAAAGTTAGTTCGCTCCGTGAACACTCATTTTGAAGGAGGTAATCCGGAACTGAGTCTCTTTGTCTTTCTGGTGGCAGTGCAGGTAACAGGGCCCAGGCTTGGCTCCACCGCAGGCCTGCGGGCCTGGCAGGGGGCAGGGCAGGACCCCCTGTCTGGGGACTGGCATGGCCTGGCAGAGATGAGGGGGTGGCCATGGACAATGGCCAGAAAAACTCAGGCTGATTTAAGATCCCAGTCGCTTTTCTTCCCACCCCCTGCCACCCTCCTTCCAGCGTGGCCGGTTTTGGAGATCCTGGTAAAGCTCCAGCATTGTAGCCTTGTTTTTTTTTCCTTTCCTTGGTCAAAATCTTTACTCTTTCAATGTTCAGATAAAACTTACAGACTTTTCAATCCTTCCCGGAGTGAAAGGGGAAAAGGAGATATTCTGAAGTCAGTGAAGCAAGAGCTAAGTTTTATAGATGGAAGGAGAGTGAGGAGATGCTGTGAAGATGGCTGAAAATCCTTTTGTAAGATTGTAGGGATGAACTGATGTACTGAATATTCCTATAAACCATGGAGAAAGACATGGGGGGTTGGAGATGTTCCATTTGATAGATCATTTGACCAAAAAGCACCTGTGTTGAGAATCTTTGCCCTGAGGAAAGAAGGGGATCTCGGTTTTCTGAGGATGAAGCATGAACACAGAGAAAAGAGATGAAGAGAACCTTTGCTGCAGAACATTTCGTTCTTAAAAGTAATACCCCATGAATCTGACATGGCCCACATGCGCAGCTCTGGGAAGGCTGTGGAGCTGGGAGGAATGCCATGATTTGCTGGTCCTGGGCAGATGCAAATCGTGAAAATGAAACCACAAGATGACTGTTTTCTTCCTTTTTTGTGGAAAAAATCCCTATAGCCTAACAAGAGGAGGCTTCTCTTTCCAAAAGTAAACTGAAAAAGGACTGTTTGAGTTGGGAACTGACTGAAGTAATTTTGTATGTTTGTTTTGTTGTTATGAAGGTTGGGAGAGGGAAGGAAGGACTGGTCTGAAAATCTTATTCTGAATGTTTTTTTTCCTTCTTTGTGTAGTTAATATATTTCTTTTTATACTCTCTTAAGTTTTAGGCCTGCCTTGCTTCTGCTCCTGGTTCTTTCTCACAACAGAAAATCAGTATATTTAAATTGGCAAATCAAAACCATGACATTATTTGGGGTGTTGGCCGGGAAAATGAAATTAAATCAAGACATTTTTTTGAGAAATTAAATTAAACCAAGACAAAGGGTAAGGGCACAAAAGGCTTGAGGAGGAAGAAAAAAGCTTAAGAGGGGAAGTGCAAATAAGAGGTCTACAAGGAAAGCATCTCATCTGTCCTTTAAAGCAGCAGTTTTGCCCTTTTTTGTTTATGAACGACTCAAGTATTTCCTATAATAGTGGATTTAGGCCTAGTGATGACAAAATTGTTTTTTCAAAGCTGCCTTCCAAGACTCCTCAGGCAAAGCAAAATTAATCTTTTAAAATGATACCCGCTCCTGTGTTATGAAACTACAACTCTCACTGGCCATGAATGAGCAACGTGCTGATGAGAGCCCAGACTGCCCATTCACTTCCTTCACAGTCACCAGGAGGGCTCCAGCAGTCTCTGGGGTTTAAATGCTTTTTGGCTATCTGGTTTTTATTTTTACAGTTCAGTGACATTGTTCACAACTGACTCCTGACACAAATTCCTAAATGCCAGGTATGCAGTAAAATCAGTACAGAGGGGATGCATGGGACCATGGGGAGGAGTGACATGGCAAACAAGTATTTAGAAGCTGGGAGAGGGGATGATGAAGACAGTGAAGCAGCTAGTTACCTGGGGGGCTGTGCCACAAGGGTCCCTGAGGAATGGGTGTGGTGACAGCAGGTGGGTGCTGCAGTAGTGCTTTGTCCCCATGAGGTCTGTCTGCTGTGACTTCTTGGTTGTGGTCTGCCTGGGTGTCCCCTGGGGTGGTGGCCTCTGGGGGCTCGGCTGCTGCACCGTGTTAAAGATGACAGGGATCGGCTGCTGCATCAGCATCTTTAAGTTAAAGAGGCACAGGAATTGTTGGTTGTACTGCCTGGCAGAAATAACACTGCAGCAGCAGTATCTCTAAATCTGGGGGCAAAATGAACCATGAATAACAGAAAATCAAATGTTAGTTTGTGTCAAATATTTATTCAGAGCCAGGACCATTGTGCCTGCTGTGTTTTGCCTGAGTGGCAGTGGGGATTCAATAGCCAGACACAGACCCACCAAGCTTTTTATGCATGGTAGACTTTGGATTAACTTGGAATTGCTTTTTTCTAATTCACGGAAATTACTTATTCAATACTCAGGCAGATATTGATGTCACCCATCTCCTGGGAAACACCACTCCCACATCTGAAACCAAGTTAACAACTTGTCAAGAGTTCATTCCCGAATGCTTTTGCCACAGACAACTTTGTTACAGCTCTGTGTGCTCAAAGGAAAAGCAAATGGCAGGTGAGTTTGGGAACACCAGGGCAGTAGGTACCTGCAAGTTGGAGTCCTGCACCAGCTGGAGCTGCTCCTTGATGACATGGAGCTCCTCCTGCTGCGTTTTGATGTCAGCTTGCAGTATGCGAGTCCTCGCCTCCAGCTGCTCTTTCAGCTGGTGCATCATCCCCAGTTGGGTGGGGAAATGGTACACTGCCTGCAGAGAATAGAGAAAAAGGACCACAGGGGAGGACCAGTCCTGCTACTCATATCCAGCAATGCTGGATTCAGAAACATGACTGCTTTTCAGCTTTTGCCATAAAAAAATATCATGCTGACAAAAACCAGTAATTGCATATTTAACCAAAGTTCCATTTGTAGTTCCAGCGCAGCAGCACATCTGGCTCACATGCCATACCTCCCTCCAGGTGTTGGTCTTTATAGTTTCTGCATGAAATTATAACAAATTAATTTCTAAATGCAGTGTCTATACATGGGACTCTCCTGTCCCCTCAGAATAACACCCTGCTGGTTTGGGCCCACTTGTGTTTTGTGGCAGACACTGCATTCAAACCTTTGCTCCACCTCCTGGCTGGGTTTTCCGTTGTGCTGCTAATGATATTAGGTGCCAGCCCAAATAAGGCTGCAATCCTACCTGAGGATCCATCCTTCACACCCACACTGGCCATTTTCAATCTCTGTTTTATAGTCTGAACATTTACTGCACTGACATCAAAGCCCTGTTAGGACAGACCTTATAATTATGGTTTATGACTCATTATGACTATGGTTTATTTTTCTTGGGTTTTTCGTTTTGTTTTCTTTTTCTGGCCTTACTCGAACCTTCCATGACATCCCCTTCCTCTACTAAAACTCTTCAGCATTGTATCAGCCTGTAGGTAGCTGCTAGAGATTCAGGGAGAAGCCTTCAGCAGCTCACAATGCTTTTGATAAGTATAAACCCTCTCCTATGCTATTTCTTTGGGTGTCCCACCTGCTCTCTCTGCTCGCTGAAATAAGTGGTTGCAATAAGGTTGTTGCAGGTAAATCTCAGCAACAGAAAGAGCACAGAAACTTTGTCCCCAGTCTGGGATGAGCCAGCAAGGACATGAGGGCAGTGAACCAAAGCCACCTAGGCTGTCCTGCTGACAGGACACACCAGTGCGCTTAAAAAAAAGAAACCCCATACCATCACAGGGTGCTGGCAGGGTACTGCCAGCTGAGCCACGGGATGCTGAGAGTGGTGTTCACTATGGGCTTGAGGAGTGGCTATGACCTAGAAATGAAAACTTTGCCTTACTGTAGGTCCACAGCACCTCTAGTGCAGAGCTGGTGCTTTTACCAGTCATACCAGCAATGAACAAGTGCAGGGAATTGGACAACTGAGATTGGAGATCTGAGGATAAGTCTGAAGGGAGAATTTAGGCTTCTGCATGTCCGTGGTAATTTAGAATCCTTGGTGTCAGCACCCATTTTGTACCATATGTACAAACCCATATGTACAAACCCCAAGAAAAGAGGGTTGGTGGTGTGAAAAGGCATTTGGCCTGGAGGAACAAACTGAATCCTGAAAGAAGGCAGAAGAGGAGCCTCTAGCATCTCTCCACTGGCTTTGCCAGCCAGTGGCACTCCCCAGGAAGTCCCAGCACACACAGAGCATGGGATACAGCATATCTGAGGGTGAGATCAATGCTTGTTTTTCTCATTTCACTACAGCCTCAGAAGGCTCTTGCTCCTCAGGACCACTGACCTGAGCACTCCCGACTGCTGCCAGTCGCAGGGCTGCCTTCTCCACTGGAGCCCCCGGCACCGATGGCCGGGTGGAAGTGCTGGTGTCTGTACGCCGCATGGATGACGTGGCTGGAAAAGAGACATTCACTGTGATACAGCAGACACATGCTTGGGTACCCTGGCTAAGCTTGGAATCCACATATGCACATGGGCAGTGACCCAACCAGTGCCAAAGCGGGTCCTCAAACTGCCCCTCTATGGGCAGTTTGGCTCTCTTCCCCTCTATGGTCTCTCTGGCTCCCCACCTGACTTGCTGGGTTCCCTCCTGATGCTCACCCCCAATTCAGCCTGCCCTCCATGGGTGTATCCAGATGAGATCCCCACTGTCTCCACAGCAAGTATCTCAAGAATTAAGTCCCCCGAGTGCCCTATCCATGGCCCACACGGGGCACTGCAGTCATCTTGCTGCCTCCCCAGAGTAAGGAGGGCACTGATGGGAGCTGAGATGAAGCTGCCAGCAAGGCAGGCATCCTCTGTTCCTTCCACAGGGATTTCACGAGAGACCCCATAATAAAATTATGCTATCCCAACACAAAACTTTTGTCAGTGAACTTGGCTCAATCAAGCTAGTAAGTCATCTCTTCTCCCAAAAACACAGCAAAAAGCCATGACCATCAGCTGGTGACAAGCCAGGGGAAATCTGGTCTCACACAGGTGGTGAGTTAAGAGTGAGGAGACAGCAGGTGGCCGTGGTTTTGTTGCTGCTCTCTGACTTGTCATGACACAGTATGTTAGTCCCACTGCTGAGCATTCCTCTCCCACCCCGACTTGGTCACTTCCAGCCGAACCCCAGCATTTTGGAGGCTGCTCTGCTCTCCAGCCCACTGCCTTGCACCCAAGCTGGGCTGCCCCGGCACCTACAGGTGGAGTCGGAGAGGGTGGTGTGTGAGGAGTGCCGGGAGCTGTGCGATGACAGCGACACTCCCTCCCGGCTGGCGTCCTGGCTGCTGCCGCACTGCCTCACATTCAGGTAACTGCTGTGGCTCTGTGGGAAGCAAAGCGCAAGTAGTGAGATCATCAGCAGGAGGAAATGGCTCTGAAAGGCATCTCCACCTCCTTGAGCCCTTGTTTGCAGACAAACCCAGCAGGCTGGGTGCACAGCACTGCGGCACCACACCACCAAACCCTGCTTGCTCTGCCCCTCTTCGTTCACGTGAAAGCCTCCAGGCACACAGGATCCTCACACTCATGCCCTGGGCACCCATCTGATGGCAGTGAGTAGCAGTGGAGGATTGCTCCTCCATGGGGATTGCTGCCCATGGCCTGCACTCTGGTGTGCCAACCTCCTTCTCCCCTGCCCACAGAGCTGTGGGCAACAGGAAATGAGCTTTTGTCATCAGCCTCTTTCTGCCTGATCTCTTCAGGGATGTCACTGCCAGTTGGCTGTGGTGCACTGAGGGGTGGTGGCAGGCGGAATAAATGAAGGTGGCAGGAGGTGGCTACCTGGGGAATAGTTTCATCCATGGAAGAGATGGAGAGAGATAACTGGGAAGGGACAGGGAGGAGTGGCATGGGGATATCAGCCCAAGAGGACCTACAATAAATGTCTCCTGAGGGGGACAGGTACCAGGCAGTATTGAGAGCTGCAATCCCACTCACTGCTTCCTGGGGAGTAGTGGCTCCAGCAGCCTGTTCTAGGCAGAACCTGGGCAGAAGTGGGGAACAGCCTGAGCTCCTATGAAATAATGTCTGAAAGGCAATGAGGCTGATGAAATGACAACTACACAACAATCCACTTGAAATTACTCTGATTGCTGGTCTTATTTGTAAACTATCAAGAGGAGAAAGTTAAAAGTACTGAAAATTACCCTGTTACTTGGGCTGATGTGTGGTGATGCCAGACTGACTCAAGCCATGGAAGTTATTGCTCATGGAAGTTACAGGTCACAATCCTACACTTGATGTGATCCAGCAACTGAGCTGAAATCTAGGTAAGTGTTTCCCTTGCCTTCCCATCTTCATCTGCGTATCAGTGATGAGCTGGCACAAGCAAAACAAGTACCCTGTGGTACTGCCCTATTCTTGGATCCTCTGTGCCTTACTAAGGGTGACAGTACAGCAATCTGGCCTCCAGCTCCAGCTCTACTTCTCTGTTTCTCAGCTGAGGTGGTTTAACCTGTTGTTTGCCTCACGGTCTCAGAAAGATAATAGGGACCAGAACAGAGCAATGCAACTGCTGAATTCACAGTTGTTGCAGAATCAGAGAATACTCAGTGTTAAAGATCATCTAGTTCCAATCCCCCTGCCACGGGCAGGGACATATTTCAGTAGATCAGGCGGTTCAAAGCTCATCCAGCCTGTCCTAAACCAACACGGACAATTTGGAGCCATGTACAAGAAAGCTTCTTAGGGCCTGCCTGAGTCATGACCCAGTTCGAGGCTTGGAATGAGATGGGAGTAAAGAAAATGGAGTAGAAAGAACAGATATTTCCCTAAGATTGGTAAGCTATGACTCAGTTTGGTTTAAACATCTCCTCATTTAACTGTGAAGGAACATGGTACCTTTAGAGAAGAGGATGCCAGTTCAATTGATGACTCTTCGAGACCAAGATCTCGCCTTCTCTCAGCCCGAACTTCTGCATAACTTAAAGAACCCAAAACAAAAAAAGCCAAAAAATTATTTTACAGCTTCTGCGCAGGTAAACTGCCACAAGCGAACAATCATTTTCTAACCTGATGATGATGTACAAGAATCCTTTTTTTTGCATGGTAATTCAGTGATCTCTATGCCAGTGCCTTGGGCAGGACGAGGTCAGATCCCTCCTTCTGAGGGTGCACAGAACTGTGCATGCATCAGGGTTAACATCCTGCATGCCAGTAGACGCTCCGAATAGAAACAGGCAGCTACACAGGTGCAATGTGAGATGCAAGAACCCCTATAAGGTGCCTCTGAAAGTGTATCTTTTCTTTCCTTACTTTTTTCCCTCTGAAATAATGAAATATTTACAATAACAAATGCCACATGATTCACCACTGGGATAAATTGAAGAGGATGTTTCAAAGACTCGCTGAGTGCTCATGGATCGTGAGCACTGAGAGGTGCCAGACTTCAGGGTGATGAAATATTAATGAGCTGCAACCTTCGTGGGAGGCAAGAGAAGTTGAGGAACTGATCTCACTTATATCATCGTGGCAATGAATTTTCCTGAAACAACGTTTTAACTTGTGTGCTTTAGTAACATATTTTAAGCCTTAACTATCTGAGACAGAATTAAACTTCAAAATCTATTTAGGACTACATAGTTCGGTTTAAGAGGCACTGGAAGCAGAAAGAAGAAACAAGTTCATGCACAATAAATTCAGTCCTTAAAGTGAAGCTGAATTCCCTGCCGGATGGCAGAAGCAAGACAACTGAGAAGCAATCTCTCTGTGTAACATTTGCTTATGCTAACACTTCATATGTAGTATATACCATAGATCATAGAATCAGAATCAATAGAATTTGGGTTGAAAAGGGCCTTAAAATTTTTCTGGTTCCAAGCCCTCTACTGTGGCAGAACACCTTCCACTAGAAGAGGTTGTTCAGGGCCCCAGCCAACCTGGCCTTGAATACTTCCAGGGATGGGGCAGCCACAGCTTCTCTGGACTTCCAGCGCCTCACCACCCTCACAGGGAAGAATTTCTACCTAAGATCTAATCTAAACCTATCTCTGACAGTTTAAAGCCATTCCCCCTTGTTCTACAACTCCGTAACTCCTTCTCAGGTCTCTTGGAGTTCCCTCAGGCACTGGAAGAGGCTCTAAGGTCTCTCAGGAGCCTTCTCCAGGCTGAACAACCCCAGCTCTCTCTTGGTCTTCAAAGGAGAGATGCTCCAGACCTCTGAGCATCTTCATGGCCCTCCTCTGGCTCACTCCAACAGACCCATATATTTCACATTTACTAGTGTTCGCTCTTCCAGATGTTTGACAGAAAAAGAGGGGGACCAGAAAGAAATTGATTCCTGACAGTAAAAAAACACACAGTGAGCAATAAATTTACTCAAGTTAATAGAGCAAACCAAAAAACAAATAGTGTGTCACTATTTTTTCAAGCCCTTCAGAAAATACATTCTTACTTTTCACATAGGCTTTTTTGAGATAGCTGTTGTAATCCAGCAGGTTCCCCTCCAGAAGGTGCATTCACAGAGCATGCTACACATGCACTGCTTTCCAGCACAGGTTGCAACTCAGCACAAGTAGCTTCCGTCAAGGAGGGGATCTAGGGCTGGATTTGGGTGCGCAATAAGGCCAGCAGGCTAGCAACTAAACTGGCTGCTAAGCCAGCTCAAGTCATAAATATTTAAAGCTCTGGTCAAAAGGTTTTGTAGGAATTATATGATCTCATTCATGCCCAGAAAGATGTCTGATTCCAAACAGCTTTAATTCTTTCTATGGCCATATCATCACTAGGGACAAAAGGGGAATATAACACAATGATATATTTAGCCAAAGGTGGCTTCCAGGCTTCTGGCTCAGTTGCCCAAAAAAAAGAGAGACAGAAAAAAGTTAAGAGGTAAATAAAACACATATTCCATGTCAAAATAGTTTCATGGAATTACATATCATTTCAGTGTGTCAGTAGGCACAGCAAGTATTTAGTTAACATGAAACAGAACTAGAAAAAACAATGGCTGAACACTGAGACATAACACACTGTGAAGAGTTTGGTGCTTGCTCCTACCTAACTACCAGATGAGTGCAAACGATGAACTCGGGTTTGGAGTTCCACTGGTGGTAGGTGATGTAGTAGTGTGTCTGCAGCCATATCCACTGCTGCCCTTTGGTCAGGAACCGATAGTAACAGGACTTTCCTTTTCCAAACTGCATCACTGTTCAACAAAAAGAGAAAGCAATTTATAGCAAACAGGGATTTTATAGAGCAAAGGTAATTAGAAAAAACATTCAGTCCCAGACCCCTTGCACAGACTGGGGCAGTGCTAAAATGGTTCTTGAGCTTTTTTAACAAGACATGTTTACATGTACTCACAACCATGTACTCAGCTCTTGTTTGGGGTCATTCCTGCTGACTTTCAGGAGTGCCCTTTGCTATTTTGAGATTTCGTTTATAATTGATATAACTGTATAACTAGCTACATTCTTATAACTTATGGGTTCCCTGAAATAAGCATAAATAACATTAATTAAACAAATTATTTGCCTTTCATGGGTACATGAGAATGCATTTCAAAGACTGAAGATATGAAGTAAGAATCCTAATAATGGCAAAAAACAACAAGATAGTGGGATTTTAACTAAGAATTTTCTTCCAAAACCTGGCCTACTCCAACCCAGTATGTATTATCAGGCTATGTCCAGAAAAATCTCAGGTGCTATAATATAACTGCAAAATAATAAGGGGAACTATGTTAAATAGCCACAGTAATTGTTCCAGACTGCTGGGAGTACAAGATGAAACATGCTCACTTGAAATATGCACAATTAATGCAAAGCAAAATACAAACTTGGTTTAAACAAACCCATTTCACTTGACAGTAGGCAAGATGTCTGCCCAAAGTGTCAACATGACAAACAGGAATTTAGCAAGCCACACTAACCCAAGTTGTTTTTTACTCACCTGCACACCTCTATTTTGTTAAAATATCAGGAATGCCTTCTTTAGCGATCCCATTAACAGTGATGGGCTTTAGATGAAACAGAGATTTTCTGGCTAACATGACATGCTGTGGATCCCTCAATTCCTAGTCCCAGCAGACATGTCCTGAAGCAACTTCTCTAAGTCACTTTGCCAGCACTTTACTTTGTTTCCCTGTGCAGTAAAATGAAAAGATCCTTTCCTAAAGGTGTGTGGTGCAAATATTCTTCTAATAGGTAAGATGAATGCCTGGATGATAGAGATGTAGAATATAAACCATCAAATTGATTCTCTGCTGAATGGTCTGACCCACTCTCAATACAGTTTGTGTCTATACCAAACTGCACATGCATTACCAAAAGGCCACTGTCTGGTTAAATATCTCACTTGTATCTGAATCTTTTGATTGAGTCTTTTAAGCACTAAGCACTAAGAAGTACTGTACTTGAGAGCAGTGAAAATACTCTGTTAATATTCCCATCTACACTTTTGCTGAATTTGACACAACTTGTGTGTCCCCCTGTCACAGCTTCCTCTATGTGCTCCAGCCAGGCAACCCACTTTCCTGGCAGCTGCTGTACCAGTGCTTTGCCTGGACAGGGAAGAGAAGCAGCAGGGAAGTGGAGCAGGGAAACTTGACACACAGAGAAGTACTTTTCCCCATTCTCTTCCAGGTCCCTCAGCTCCTCATATATGTAAGTGGTAAAGGGTTTGTGGTAGAGATGAGGGTGGTTTGCAGCTCAGAGATGGGTTTTCTCCAGTGGGCTGTGGGGTTTCTTGTTGGTGTTTCTTAGTCCCAGCATCATGCTGCTCTGCATCTCAGGGCAATTACAGCATCCTGCTTGCTCCACGCTGGGGTGTCCTTTTTTCCTTTTGACAAAACACTCTCCTTTCAAGTGGAGATAGCAGAGAGACAGTGTCCCCATCCAGAAAACTGTAATATTTCTTAGCAAAATACCTGATTACCTAGATGCATTTTGCAAAGTATGTAGTTACTTTTCATTGTAGTGCTTGGTGATGCAAAACCACCAAAGGATGCACATAGCTCTGGCTCAATGTTTCAGTCTGAAATGCACCCAATAAAATGGAAAAATCTGTGTCTTGGGGATAAAGCATCTCACATCTGGTAGGAACTGCACACTGATTAAATGTAGCCATCTGCAAACACTTTCTGCCTTTCCTCACTTTAGCTCCAGCCCTCAGCAGGACATGGTTCTTCAGCATTGGGGTGCACTGCTGTGGAAATCTCCTTCAACCGCACACTACTTCTCCTTGCACAAAAATAAACTTCATGGACCTGTGGTGTTCACACATAAGCCTGAACTTGACTCTTCTGCTTTGTTGTTTTCCTTTCACATCAACCAAACATGAGCCATCTTCACCCACAGGGAAACTGTTCAGCACTTTTGTATGTAAAATAATTCTGAATCTCAGAAGCATTTTACTAATGAGGGATACAACACCTAATTGTACAGGCAGGTAAACCAAATGATGCTCTCAAAAGGTGTTTTGGTGAGCTGAGCCTCCTGGCTAACTCTGGAGCCCAGGGGATGGTAAGACCCCATGAATTGTGACAAATCAACAAAACTTGCAGGGCAGAGGGGGAATAGTTCTGACTCCCAATCTTTTAATCTCATTTCACTCTGAGACAACCTGTGCTCAAACAAAGTATCTCCCAATTTAGGAAAACTGCACAAACAGTTCCTGATCTGAGTAAATTCTGCAGATTTCAACCTCCCAGGTAAGTGTCAGCTGTGACAGTCTGTCATGGGGAGAGTTCCCGCATGCCCCTGAAAGAAGAAGCCTTTTGCAATGATAGTTAAAGGTTTTGCACAACTGACAAAGGAGATCAGAGACAGACACATTGCAGAGGCAGGGAAACTTACAGTGTTCATGGCACCTAGCAAGAAGCTCCAGGTCATCTGCATGGTAGTAATCATATCCCGACGTTCCCAGAACCTCAAATGGTAAATATCCTATAATAGGTGGAGCCCTAGAAAGGAAGCAAAGGGCAGGGAGTGAGCAGAAAACCTGCCACTTTGACATCCTGGCAGATAAGCTGTGATACCAGCAACAAACACCTTGTTTATTCACTTGGCAGGGAAATCTGGAGTAGATTTTCATATAGGCAATGGTGTATTTTCATATACAAACAAAAAGACAGTGAGGGAGAGGTAAAAATTGAGAAAATTAAAAGGTGTGTGTGTTTACTGTTTCACAGCCTATTCATTACGTGGGTGTAGAGAAAGGCATGTACACATGTGAGTGACTCAATTCATTAAGGATGCTTGAGACACAGCTTGAGAAATGCTATGCCTGATACTGCACATAACAACTTGGAGCTAGAATAAAATTATTCAGTAGATTGGATGTAAGTGTCGTTTCGGTTGTAACTGTAGAAGAGAGAATAAGTGGGAAGCTGCAGTGTGTGTCAGGACCAGCTTGGGAAAAAGTAATTGCACCGCTGGAAATGCTTGGGAAGCTATAGCCAACAAAACTTCTGTGCTGGTAGTACACTGAAAGTAGCAATAGGCATAGGGCTGATTTAGGGTTGTTTTTTGCTTTGGGTGGTAGAGAAGAAATTGATGAACACATTGCCATGACTTAACTCACTATTCCATTATCAATTTTGGGTACTCCTTTTTCTATGCAAAACATGAGATTTTTTTATAGCAAGTATCCTGACACAGCCTTCACTGGAGCCTGATAGCTTATGATTATAAAACAACACTGAAATGTGGGGAGAAAACCAGTGCTTTGTCTCTGCTCCCTGTATTAGCATGTCACTCTCCATCTCCCAGCACTCAGGTACACTCCTGTCTGCACCAACTCAAGCACTCAGAGAGGCAGGACCTGTGCTAATTTGGCTCCATCTGTTTGTTCTGGCTGCAAGATGTGCTGACAGTGCTCACCTGCCAAGTTCAATGTGGTTCTCAGGAACAGGGAAAAATGGTAAACAACTCAAAATGGGACAGGCTGAAGGCAATGGTGCCTATCAAACCTGCCTCTTCTGCTGCGCCTCTCCTGGTGAGTTGAGTGCTCTTAGGGAAGAAGGCCATGAAGTGGCAAAGGCTATGAGAAAAAAGTTATTTCAGTGTATTACATGTGGGTTTGGGTGGATCAGTCCTGAGTTTCTTGGTTATTACTGTGTGAAGCTCCACATTTGTACTCTAGAGAGACATGGTGGGCGTAAGTTATTCAGCCACAGAGAGCCCAGGCAAGTCTATAACCTCCCTCCTCCCTACAGCTGGTGGCAGTCTGGCACCAAATGGGCAATGGAAGAAGAAGGACGATCTAGGGATCTGCTCAACAGCAGTCCCAAGAGGACCAAGATGTGAGCAGGAGCTCCTGAGTCCCAGCACAAGGGGTTAGCTGGGAGATCCAGACCTCCACTTGACAGCAAATCCCTTGAAACAGAGTGCACTGAGCACAGAGTAGTCTCTGCCACAATACAGCTTTATTTATTCAAGCAACTTCACGGCACTCTGTTCCTTTTCTTCATGTGACCCAGATTTCTCTTAATGATGATAGTATGTTTATTTATTAAAGTGTCTTTCCTTGCTGTCTCTTTGGCAGAATGCATCACTGTTTCTCCTATTTTTAATTACATGCTTATATTCAAGGCAATGTCTTTCCGATGCACATCAGATAAACATTTAAGATGATCAGGAAAGTATTATGTTTTTCTGAATATTACCAGAGCTCTTCATAAGAGAAAGCAACCACAAAATGCTCCTCATTTGTCATTTAACAAGGAGATGCCTTGCGGAGTAATTTTAAAGTGTCTTGTTAGCTTAAGCTTCAGTCCTGATATCTGCAACTTGCTGTGCAAATGCACAGTCTTCAGAGATCCTTTTTGGGTGCAGTCTTTTAATAAATTAAGGGAAAATAAGAACAGTACCACAGTCCAGAAGAGAAACAGATCATTATCAAAGCTGATGGGTTTTTCTTCCTCTACCCATACTTACATATAGACCCAGAATACAGATTTTTCCTATTTTTCTCATGTTCATCCAGATCTATGGAATGTTTTATTGCATCTATCTTTACTCTGATTTCAATTGTGATCATGACAGCAAAGGTCCTGATTCCAGCTCCTGTTGGGTACCCTCTGCTCCTGCTGATGGCACACCTCAGTGTCAGGCAGCCTGTGGTGATGCAAATCAGCAAGAAAATATTTCCCAGTGTCCTGCAGATTTGTACTGGAGAGAGCTTGGAATCAGTGATTAAATGAGACAACTCTCACGATCTGGGTCTGAGCTCACTGCTTGCTTCTGGGTTTGTAGCAAACTCTGCCTCAACATTTGCATCATCTTAATTTCCTCTCAGTAACAATGGCTTCCTTGCTGGGGATATCAGTGGGCCTGGAGTATCTCCAAGTGCCTAGCACAGAAATTCCTCTCTGAGTCATAGCCCAGATTCATCAAAAGACTCTTTGACAAGTTTCAAAGTCACTCCTACTCACCTTTTTCACAGGAGCTGCTGGGACACAGCCCTGTGGAAAAGCAGCTCACTTAATCAGTGAGGTGAGAGGCTTAGGGCTAATCAGCTGATTCTAAAAATGTGCATTATCAGACAGGCCAATTAAAGTCTAACAAAGTCACTCCAGCAAGATCTCATCTGAATTAATAATTATCTGACTGTCCCAAACCAAGCATAATCAACTGTAGGGCTGTCGCAGGGTCAGTTCCTCCATGCTTCAAGGTATGATGTGAGGCACACACCTTGTGTTCTATAAAAATGAAAGTTATTATTCATTTTTATTTGCTCTCTCTCTTTCTTGCTCTAAATGTGCAGATGGTATTTAGATTTTTTCCTCACCAATATCTTTTTTCCTTAGAACCTTATTTACTAGTCTTCTGTTTTTAGTAATGACTACCTTTGCACAGCTCACAAGGGGAGCTTATGTGCTTATGCACATATGTCAAACACAGAGAAGTAAAAGAGTGAATAAAACCCTCCAGCTTCTTTTGAAGAAAATTAATCCTAAATAGCTTAATAAACTGGTTCCAGTATGTTTCATT